TGTTGTTCAACTTATCCAAATGGCGGGAGCAGGAGAGAAGATGGAAGCAGCACTAACGCGGTTCCTTGACCTGAGAATCGGTCAACTCCTGAGAAATCTTTTGACAGAGCTCCACCAATTTTCTTAGGGAGTGAGGACCTCTATCATTTGTTCAGTCAGAAGTGTAGCGGCTAGTAATGAGTTGATTGGTGCAAACTAATTTCAGTCAAAGAACGCAGTAAGTTCGTACCCGGAGCACATGGCCTCCCTGGACAAGGTTCGTCTCAGGTAGTGGTCATTCATGCGGTAGGCGTTCTTGTTATTTCGACACCGTACTTTGGAAGAAAGCGTCAGGACCTTAGTTAGAGGGGATGCCGCATTGGCTCCAACCACGCTGGACTTGGTGCAGCTTCTTATAGCGAAGAGTAATGAAAATTATGAATTTCATCTACCGTTTTGAATGATCGAACAGGCGACTGCAGGTCAGCGCCTTCTCCGCAGACTACATAGCTAGATCTCAGCATCGTTGCGGGAAGCTTAAAAAGTGTCTTGAACTTTTGGAACACCCTACATACATACGCAGTGGGACGGCGCATAAGTGTTGACGGTTTCTTTCCGCACGAAATTTTGTATGGAAAGCAAGTAATTATCCTAATTTGTGCTTTTACCGCGCATAACATTACAGACGCACAGTGCATTGCGTTGGACGTTGGACGGCCCCTTCGGCAGCAACTGCCTCAAGAACCCAGCACCGATCTCTGAACCTCCCATCAAATGAAGGTGATGCCAAATAAGAGTGTGTTAGCACTTCATGATTTTTACAGATTCCTTATTCCTTTGGCAGGATCTCCTTGAATGAATCACTCAATAAGCGTCCACTAACTCAAAAAGGTTCGAGTGGAAGCTTATTGAGACAACTTTTAGAACTCAGAAAGGGAGCGTTGCTTGTCTGCGAGGTAGAAATTAAAATCTTCGAAACATTCGAACAAATTTTATGTATTTCGCTCGAGTTTGTCTCTCATGGTCCTTTCCAGCGACACCTGAGGTGTTTGGCAAACGATGCTGTAGCTTGATCGCGTAGCGCCAATACCCGAAATCTGATAGCCCTGTTCATGAAAAAAATAGGTGC